GAGAATGCATAGAACCAAATGTTCGGGGGAGGGGGGGTGTCGTGCTTTCACCAACCTGGGTGGGTTTTGTGCAAGAACTTCAAGTTGCTGATTTATTCTAGCAAGGTTACTCTGCAGAGGATCGAATTCCTTCCAGGCTTGGTGCAGCTCAGATAGGAGGCGTCGCTTCTCATATTCCATATCCAAGTCGAAGACTCGGGGGTTCTTCGACACCGTCTCCTGTGGTGGTTGTGGTGAGTTCTTTGTCTCCGTGGGTTGGGTCGGTGATGTGATCGGAGAGCTATTACACAAGAGGAACATGCAGCTAGGTAATTACTTGTTTTTACCGGAGGCGAGGGAAATCGCAGGTGATACAAGTAGGTCACAAAAACGCCGGGTCTAATGATTGTCCGGACGGTCAAGTCAAGCTTATTATGGGAACTATAGGCAAACGCCTTTGAACTGCCTATTGGTACACAGTAGTGCAGAAATGCATCGATATGTACAGCCAAACATTTCAAAAGAGTTTGTTTACACAATTATAGGTGTAAGTGAGCAAAAAGAGTAGACAGCAAAAAAAACTCCTAAGGCATGGATCAGAATTCAAAAGATGGAATGTCATTTGTGGTTTTTTGAGGAGAAAACTGTCGCTCGTGGGGGGAAAGTGTGTGAAAGATAGGACCGGCATGCTGCTGTGAATGTTGGCGGCAAGCTAGGGGCCCATCGCGATTAATATGTTTATCCGAAGGGTCACACGAGGAGGAGACCGCAGACGCACGAGAACATCTCGAAGAACCAGAGATGCGACCATGATACCCCCTTGCTGTTTGCCGCGTTTGTAGATAAGGTGAGAAAAACAAAGAGGAACACGCCACAGTCGGTTTTTAGGTCGATATGAGGAAGGAAGTTACAATGCCGCGTAGTCTAGGGCCACAGTTGCGGTAGAGGTGACTGCCCTAGAATTGGCGATGGCTACACTTGTGATAGGGGGCAGTAACGAGGGGGTTTTAATGGCAAGTCCTTTAGGTAAGGATGTTAAAAGAAGGGCTCGCGAGATATTCTTGGGATATGTGTATGTAGCATGCGTCGAAACGTACCACCAGTACCACAGCCAGCATCACCACTATTAATATTAATATTTAATGAACTTAGACAGTCCAAAGATCCCTCGGTGTTAAAGGAACTG